GTAAGAAAAAATGAGACAGAAACCAAAGACAGAAACCGGTGAGACGGTTCATCATCATCATCATCATCATCATCATCTGAGGCACGTAATCGCAACCGTTAATTTCACGCGATTATAATTGCACGCCTTTTTCTCTCGCCTCTCTCGTACGTGGTCTCTCAGCTTCTTCCTCTTCTTCTTCTTCTTCTTCTTCTTCCTCTTCTCATCTCTGTCCTGAGAAACGTGGCAAAAAAATTGTACAAGAAAGATAATAGTAGTTAATAAATAATACAACTGCTACTGATGTTGTTCTGCTGTATAAAACAACCAAGAAATATAAGAAAAAAGAATAAGAAATAAGAGATGAAGATGAAGATGAAAATAAAAAAGGATTAGGAAGAGAAGGAAGATGAAGATGATTGTAGATCAACCAAGAAAAAGAATAAGAATAAGAAATAGAAGATACAGATATAGATGAAGATAAAAATGAAGATGAAGATGAAAATGAAGATGAAAATAAAAAAGGATTAGAAAGAGAAGGAAAATGAAAATGATTGTAGATCAACCAAGAAAAAGAATAAGAAATAGGAGACAAAGATGAAGATGAAGATGAAGATGAAGATGAAGAAGGAACAGAAAAAGAAAGAAGATAAAAATGAAGAAGGAAAGGAAAGGAAAGGAAAGGAAAGAGAAGGAAGATGAAAAGGATGAGGTATGTTCTCGGAGGGGCCTGTTCTCGGTGGAGAGGCCCAGAGGGAAAGGCACACGAAACGATGAAGAAGATAATATACCGATGTACTGAATTACGCGGCCGGCTACCGAATCATTCTGACCCACATCCGAGTGTTTGCCTCGAGCATTCGGGATGCCGGAGATTCGATCGGGCGCCTCTTTCTTATGACCAGCTTCTTTTCTACCTTACACACACACATACACGGTTATACGTACGTGTACACGTCTTCTATATATATTTATAATATAGGCACATGTATATAGACGAAATGTTTCTGCTTCTTTTTTTTAGATTTTATATTTTTATTGAAATTATACTTCGTTTGGCGCGTTTTGGAAAGTGAAGTTAGATGCGACCGAAAAATCGACACCACGAAGTTGTCGATATTTACGATGCGCGCGCAAATTGAAGTTATTTTTAAGGTTATGAAGATTATATTCGTTTTGGTACGCGCTAAACGAAGTATAACTTCTTACACATCAGTTTTTATTTTTATTTTTATTTCTTTTTCTTCTCTTTTAATTTCTTTTCTTTTTTTTTTGTTTTTGTTTTATTTCCAAGCCGAAAGCAGATTTTTGTTTCTGTTAAACTTCGAAAAGAAAGATTTATACGATTGAATCGTATCGTATCGTATCGTCTACTTTTTCTTCTTAATTTGGATGAACAACAGACAGATCGAAATGATCGTCGATGATGATTAGGAACGTTTGATCGATTGATTCGTATCTAGCACGTCGAGAGATATCGTCGTATCTTATTTATTCTTTAATTTTTATTTATATTACTATCGTTTTCTTTTTCTTTTTTTTTTTCTCAGTGTGTAAAATCATTTGACGTTGATATAGCATAAAAATGTTCACACCTTTTTCATATTTTTCATGGTTTTAACTATTAATTTGTTCGTTGAATAACTTTGTAAAGTTTTGAGATTTATTCGATTAATATTTTGTAATAAATAATTCATTCATTTATGTAATATTTCATTAATATTACATTTATATTAACAAATTTGATAATACAGAATGTACTATGTGTCAGTAATAATTCTAATGCAACTTTAAAACAATGCTAAATTTATTATAAATATCAATAATTTATTTTAAATACTAACCAAATAAATATATGATTCATATATAAATAATATTTTATATATAATTTGTAATAGAGAGTAATATATTAATAATAAAATATTAATATGCAACCCCATGATGCACCCAATTTCTGATGTTATAGATATTAATCATCTTTCATTTATTTAACTAACAAATTATTATTTATACCACGATATTATACTTCTCTACGTCTATTATAGAAAAATATTTTTTGTTTTTTTTTATATATATATAAATATACTTGCTAAATATAAATCTAATGTAAATAAATTTGAAAAACGACTCTTATAAGAACACGATAAATCGTGCAAACGTCAAGAAATACGATAAACCAAGGAATTGAAATTCAGTTCGCATTCTCCCTTACTTATCTTATGATTTTCGACCCAAATAAACTATGTCAAAGTTAGTGTGCTAGTTTCGTTCGTGTGTTAGTCAAACTAACTAACGAAAAAAAAAAAAAAAGGAAATGTACATACCCCTTTTTATACATTTTCACGTTTTGTCAACGATACTAAAGTGTACTTTGTTCTTTTATTCACACACACTCACACACACACACACACACATATATGCATATAGATAAATTTATTATCGGTTAATTACTTACAACAACATAGAAGAAAAAACTCGTTGATCTTATTTGCGCCGTAAAACTTGTGATTGCATCTTAAAGATATAAAACTAGATAGGTTGATATTATTCGATGCAATTACACGTTTGATGATGAAGAAAAAAAAAAAGAAAAAAAGGATTAGAAAGGATATATACACGTATATATAAAATCAGTGGTATCCGATGAAATCGATAACATTTGTCAACCGTTCGTTACATTTAAAATCACTCGATAAAACGCATTATTCTAAAAGCATTGTTATTCACACCTACTGTTTTTTTTGTAAAACAGGCTACACCTGTTTTACATATCGTATTATCCGGAAGTAGTCCTTCCGTGGTACCGGATACTAACAACAACCATACTCGTTGCTATATAAAAGGATATTTTTTCGATAAAGTATCGTCAGTTTTTCAAGAATTGTCATAACGATGACTACTACTCTACGAAAAATTTTCATTTTTTCGATAGTCGTTACAATATGCACTGGACTTCCTTCAAAAAGTCATCGAGGAACTCACGGACATCCGATACCACCGGAACCAAGAAATCAAGGACGATTCGAAGATGGACATAATCATGAAGAAATTGGTAAGAATTTTGTTTTTTAATTAAATACGTAAGATTATTAATTAATTTTAATCATAACTGGTATATCTTTTAAGGATATTCTTTCTCATTTGAATAAAATAAATAAATTGTAAATAATATTTGTAATAATAATAAATATAAGATCAGTAATATTAAATGAACATGGAAAATAGAATAAAAAAATTCACATTGGTATACGTTAAACATAAGATTATTTTATTCTTTTGTTCGCGTAGCAAGAAGAATCAACTCGTGGAAACCGGAAGATCCAGAAAATGTATGGGAATTGAGTGGTCTTTATCAAGGAGACATAATGTTACCACTAAATCATAAAGGAAGTAATAGAAATGGTCTTTTGGATACAACAACTCGTTGGCCTAATGCAACTGTACCTTATTACATCGAGGAAGAGGATTTCGGTAAGTAAAAACTGTCAACGATTATATTACAACGAAGAATAAAATTGAATCGATGCAAAAAAAAAATTAAATAAAAATTATTCTCGCGTAATATACACACATTAAAATTATTTAAATATAATCAACGAGAATAAATCGATTAAATTCGAAAAATAAGAAAAAGTACAAAATGATCAAAATTGTGTTGAGGGGGAGGGGTCTAATTAATTTTAAATTTAATAACAAATTTCATATCAGCAAAAATCTAAACAAACAAAAGAAAAAAAAATTCTATGAATTGAGTTAATTGTTTTGTTCTATTTAAACAATGTTCATCTCACGATTATACTTGTTTGTATTTTTTCAGATCGTTCAGATATCGAAGTGATAAAAGATGCAATAAAAGAATATCACAGCAGAAGCTGCTTACGTTTCCGACCATACAAAGAATCCGATATTGATTATGTCCGAATACAGGGTAAGAGTTCCGGATGTTGGTCCATGGTGGGTCGTCATGGTAAAGGACAGGTATTAAACTTGCAAGTTGACGGATGTGTACGGCACGGTGTTGTCGTTCACGAGTTGATGCACGCTTTGGGATTTTATCACCAACAGAGTGCAGCGAACCGTGACGAATGGGTCGTAATACACTGGGACAACATAAAACCAGGTATGTATTGTATTTCAGACAATGGTATTTGCTTTTATGGGATATTATTATTATATATACTCTTTTCATTTTCAATTTCTCGTAATTTAAAATTAGAAAGGGAACTTGCTTTTTTGTAATTAATTTTATTTTAAATATAAAAATAATAATAATAAATATATATATATTTAAAATTGCAAAAGCAAGTCCTATTTGTAATTATGAAAAATTAAAGAAATATATTACTATTATTATTATATTTCTATTTATATTTGATCAGTGTATTTGAAATAAATATATTATATTAATAATTAATAAATTTTAATAATTAAATTTTGTAATATATAAAAGATTAGGACGTTACTCGGATGCAATTTTGTCTAATATTATAAAAATACTGATATAATCTTTTAAAGACTGACCATTATAAATAGCAATTTTGTTTCTTTTTTTCTTTTCTTTTTACAGGAAAAGAACATAATTTTGAAAAATATGATCGAGATACCGTAACAGATTTTGGTTCCTCTTACGATTATTCCAGCGTGATGCATTACAGTGCACACGCGTTCTCAGCGAACGGCGAGGCAACTATTACACCAAAGGTATTGAGAAAAAAAAAAAAAAGAGAGAGAAAAAAAACCCTTAAGAAAAACATTTCATAAATGACAGGATCGGTAGATCGATTGATCAATTACGATGATTTATAAACTTCTTTACAGGTCGAGGATGCAAAAATCGGCCAACGTAACGGACTCAGTAAAATCGACGTGGAAAAATTACAAGCAATGTACAAAGACGAATGCGATAATCGTGAACCAGAAGTAAGTACTGCTAGCGAATCCGAAGAAGATCTTTCATTTAATTGGTCCTCATTGGATTTGTAGAAAATAATCTTCAACGATTTTTGTAAGTACAAAATATGACCTGATGTTTAATTTTCTTTTTTTCTTATTTTTGATTGACAAGTTAATTAGATATATCTATATAAAAATACAATGACGATATTTAAATTTGTATAACTTACAGGAATCCGACCTAGTACGCACAAATAGATCTATTAATCTCGAAATAACATGAATTTTTGTAAGAATTATAGAAGAGGAGAATTTCAATATTCTAAGTTAATCTAAATACGACGTAGTTTTATATAAAAATATAATTTCAATAGTTTTTTTTTCTCCCAGTGATATTATAAAACTTTTATATAACTTATATCGAATTGGTGATCATTCATTCGTAATAAACGTTTGGACCCTTTTTTATAACGATTAATTTTCATGGATTAATTGATATATATATATATATAAATATATACCAAAATAAATATATCGATAAATATCGGTATATTCAACCAGCAGGACTTAGTTGATTATAATACGTTAATTGTTTAAGTTCTCCGATCGCCTCTTCGGCAGACTAAAATGATAGATTTTGAAAAAATATGTTTAATATTATATTAAAAATAATAATTATATCAATTTTCACTTACGTGTCTAACGTTTTCTTCTTCGTCGAGTAATAAATTTTCTATAAGATTTTTCAATGATTTACCCCAAACTTGTTGTAATGCTCTGCAACAAAATCTTCCTAAAAGTCTAACAAGAGTACACGTTCTAGCTCTCAATACGCCTTGACGATGCCCAAGAAGTTTGCTAAATTGTTCGACCGTACCCCCTTGAACAAAGGAAAGTAAAAATAATATTTAGACCGATGTAACACGAATGATTAAGTTTAATAAAACAAAAAGAAAGCTAATACGATCATTTACCATGAGTTTTCGAGTACAGAACAACCTTTTCAACCAATTCAGCATTCTCTGGTTGAGAACGTAAAATGTTGTTCAATATGGCTACTAAATCTGCTACAACGCGTGCCTTTCTTTTTTCCAAAGCTAATAATTGTTGTAATAATGGCATTCCGTTAACAATGTATATGGCATCGCAAAATTGTGTTAGAAATTGTTCTTGAACGTAAACCAATCTACACAATAAAAGCATCGTACATTCTAAAGCTTGTAATTCATCAGCTGATAATGTGGATGCTGATCTGGTACCCCCAGAACCTGTTGTATTGGATTCACTATCAGATCGTTCTGACATAAGCAATTTTATAGCATAAACCAGATTTGGTACCACTCGAACATCCAAATAAACACGTTCTATACTTTCAAGATTTTCTCGTGATACTGATATAACAAAAGGTAAGGATAATAGACAAGCAACATATTCCACAACTCGATAACCAGCTCCTTGATTTCTTAAAGGAGAAACAAAAACTGAAACACAATTTTGTTGCAATAACGAACCAACTTCACCTTCCATTACTTCTTCCATAGATCTTTGTAAAAATGCAACCCATTCTTCATTTTCAATCGGTCTTTCTACAGCTCTTGGATTCCAATCAGGTAACCTTACGTGTTTATCAATCAAATTCTCTTTTCCAAATTCTAATTCGTAATCTTTACTCAAAGAAGTCTGCTTGCAGTCACCGTTACCCGAAATTTGATCTATTTCAGATGATTTTTCCGTTTGTTGACCAACACTAATTCCATCACCTTGAGCATTTTTATTTAATCCTTCAGGTTCACACGTTTTCTTCTGATCTTCATCGTTTGATTTTTTACATACAGACTTAGAATTAATATTTACAATTGGAAAAACTTGTTGGTTGTTGCTGTTTGTGTTAGGACAATCACTTTGACACAATGCTTGATCTGCAGCAAGTAAATCACTTCTCAATGATGCTCGCAAACTAAGATTTCCCAAAAGTACATCGATGCTAGCACTCGAATCCGTGCCACTAGGTTCACTATGACGAAGAATCTGACAAACATTTGTACCATACTGACAATGCGGGTGAAACATCGGATAACGTGGTTGCGAAATGCACGTCCTCAGTCTTTGCTCTCGAAGTTTTCTTTCTTGATACTGTACTTTCTCTACAGCTTTCTCAAGAACTCTAAAAATATTAACTCATGAATTTGTAATCAAGTTATAGTTCCTATTAAACATACTATTAACGCAGATGCTTACTTCGATTGATTAGTCGACCTCATTGATAAGTTTTGTAACTGCTGTTGCTTTGCTCTAGCTTGACTAGCTGACAATGGTGTTGTAAATGGTGTAGGCGCTGTTCCACCAACTATGATGATTCTATCTTTGACGAATGGATGTTCTAAAAGTGCAGGCCACGTCAAACGTTGAGATGGATCCTTTTGCAATAACCCCTGCCATAAAAAAAAACAAGTTAACATAACTATTATCCATATGAAAGTATATCAAAAACGTAACAGTATACAAAAATAATTATAAATAATTACTTGTAAAAAGTTTTTACAATTCGGTGAAATAAAATCTGGCCACTTGACTGCTTCAAAGCGTATAAGTCTAACCAAATGTAAAATAGAGGTTGTTTGAAATGGTGGCCAACCGACGACTAATTCATAAACTATACAACCTAATGACCTATAATATAAATCATAATTAAATAACTAAAAAATGATACAGGATTAAAAAATAAGAACGATCTGAAGTTACATACCATAAATCTACATTGTGATCGTAGGGACGTTCTTGTATGAGTTCTGGAGCCATATACAAAGGAGTACCTTTAATAGAAGTAAGGACATGTGTGCCAGTGCTCATACTACGTGCAAAACCAAAATCGCATAATTTGGCCACTCCATTAGCTTCTAAAAGTACATTTTGAGGTTTAAGGTCCCTGTACCGATGAGAAAGAGAAATAAAATTGTGTCGATATAATAACTAAATACCAAAAACACAAACCTATGTAAAACTCTATTGGAATGTAAATAATATAACGCAGAAACCAAATCGCAAGCTATGACTTGAGCTCTTTCTTCCGATAGGTGACCGGCTTTACCCAAAATTTGATATAATTCTTTGTCAGCATACTCTGTTACCACGACAATCTGAAAAATATAATTTAATAAGATTTAGTATTGAATTAAAATAATAAAGTAATTTGGACAATATTTCAAACTTACTTCATTTTCAGTTTCAAAAGAATCTAACATTTGCACTATATTAGGATGATGTAAATGACGTTGAATCTCACATTCTTGACGTAGACTTTTAAGTTCTTTTGACGATCTACCACGCTATAAGAAATCCAAATATTTCCATGTAGTAATTGAAGAAAAAAATATTTAGGTTATTTATAAACTGGCTATGATCAATAGAAAGAAATCAACTTACTTTTCTAATAACCTTAAAAGCCACTATTTCACCATCCGAACGTTTTTTCGCTTTGTACACTTGTCCAAACGAACCTTCACCTACTTGTCCTAAAACTTCATATTTTTCCATTATTAGATAAATAATTGATCACACAATCTTGTATTATATTAAACCATTTAAAAAATATTAAAACAATCTATATGTTACTCTTCGATACAGTGCGCATGCAACTCAAATAGAAACACCAATCAACGAATAGGAAATTATACATAACCAAATTTACACCAATGTGGACCAGCGTCATCTAAAAATGGCGCCATTTAAATCAATTTCAAATAATACAAAATATTATGAAATTATACAAAATCATGAAAAATAATATCAATAAAATGTATTTTATATTACGTTCACACAACAATAAGTGTTATGATTAATTATTATTATTATTATTATTATTATTATTATTATTATTATTATTATTATTATTATTCTATAAACATTTATTTATCTTCTTTTGATAAAATATTATTTCTTCATTCGCTAAAACGGCATTTAACATTTTTAAATATCTCGAATATTTTACTTTCTATCGAATTGTAATTATTTAATATTAAATTACATGATAAATAATACACACTAATAACTTTGATTTGTTACAATACTAATTAAATTATCAAAATTATCATTCAAACAAACATGTGGATGTAGTAATAAAAAAGTGTTATCAAAAAACATTTAATACCTGCGCCTATGAAATGTTATAAAAATAAACACGTATATATATACAAGGTATAATTATCCTTTTCTAGTTTTTAAATGATACAAAAATAATATACATAGAATAAACTATAGAAAATACAGTGTAATAATTACACAATTAGATAATAATACCGACTGTAATACCAACTGAATCAAACATCATTTAAAGAGCAACATTAAAATTAATCCTTTTAATCAATATTTTACTAATGAACGTTATTTACTATAAAATGTTTATTATAATTGATATGATAAATATTAATATTTTCAAAAACATTCAAGTTAAGATTTTAAAATATTTCTTTTTAAATATAGTCTTTCGTTATCCGAACATTTGATATTTTTTAATACGCTTATCTAGTAGATATTCAAAATAAAAACAATTTATAAAGGAACAATTATAAAATGATGTCAAAGAAAATGTTAAATGACAAGAAACACAACTTGAATGAATTTATATTAAACATTGAGTATGAAGTTTTATTTTATTAATACTATCTCGATAATTGCAGAATTGTATAATTACTGTAATACTTTTAAACATTTAGGATTGATACAAATAACGTAATTATGTTTTTCTTCCAATTTCTACATTTTTATGCTTAGAATAAGTTTATTTCCAAACATTAATAAATAAAAAAAACAACAAAAATTATCGTGAACGCTAAAAAATGAATCATGAAAAAAAAATGTAAAAAATACTGTTTAATTCTTGGTACATTAAATCAACTATCTTTACTAAACAGATAGAACGATTTTACACAATGATGTATACATGATATTTTTTCTTTTTTTAAGGAGCGTACAAATAATTTTTTATCATTCCAAAATATTTCAATTATGTTTATAAGACAATATATTATTTACAATCTCGGTAAAATGTTAATTTCATTTTTATTATTTTAATTTTTCTTCCCTTTTTTCGTCTCACGAACAAGCAAACGATTGCTAAGTGAAATCAAAGAAATATTATACGTAGTAGTTAATTAGAACTTTAGATAACGGCTAAAGAGAAACTTGATTATTTACTGAAGAAATTTTATTTAAATAATTCTGGTAGTGCTGCTTTGAATACATTCACAAATCTCATGGGAGAGATCATCGATATATAAAATGTTTATATATATCGCCTGTTAAAACATTGAATAAATCTTCTCATCAATCTTGTCATATTATCCATCATTACACCTCGGATGATATGAAATAGTTAAAAATCAAAAGTTACATCCATGATAATGAATGTATGTAAATACTGAATTAATAATAGCATATATTCATAATATTAGTAACCTTAAAGTTGCACATATTTATCCCATATCCTACTTTTTACAACTATAAACGATACACGAATCACCAATGACTTCTTATTATTTTTAAAATGTTCTATTTAGATTTATATTTAAATCTTATTAATGTAAATTACAACATTTACATTAACTCATGCTAAGTATAATACGATATTTAAAATATTCGGAGAAGAATTGCAGTCCAAACTTATTTTTCGCATAATTACAATCACAAATATAAAGTACTAAGATTTCAATGGAAATCGGGGCATATCAGAAATATGTGAAATTTTTTTCTCAAAATATTTTAACTTCTCTATCTAATTATATAAATTCATAAGACACACCATTTAAATACGTTAATAATAAACTTCTGTATAAAGAATAAGAAAAACAAGTCTAATAAAAATTCTGAATGTGTAACATCAGTGATACGTGTATCGGAGCACTCTTCTAACAATGATTGGAATATAGAACCATATTGTATTAATTAACATCAAGAAAGTATAGAACGATATTAGGTTTTGATGCTCTTTCTTATTACTGTTTACAATAATCTCAGCTACATAAACTTATCTGCATATATAAACAAGCTAGAACATATTTTGTTTTCAATGTAATGTGTGTGAGGCAACTATGTGGTTTATTCATAGTACTGTTATTGGTCAAAAAGAATGATGGACTAATGTCAAGACGTTATAGTCAATATCTAAGATGATGATAGCACGGATGGTAATGATTGAACATTATATTCTCTCCTATCATGAAATTTTAGGCACGCTCCTTTAATGCGATTACTTTTCCCACTTTGATGATCCTGTACACATCTACAGGGAATATTCGTTATTGTTTAGTAGAGAGATTGCGCATTGGAAGAACGTGGCTTTTTGATTTTTTCCAAATTTTTGATGACAAGATCGTGTAATGAACAGTAGCGATTACGAACTTCACACATTACAAGCCACAAACTCACATATTCCTTTTCATCTAATTCTTCGATAGCTCTTCTATAATCAATGATGTGTGGATACTTTGCAACTTTACTAACAATTTTTCCTCGAGAAATAAAGTACCTAATGGAATGAAAAAATTGTATATACATTTAATTTTTATATAATTACAAAAATATAATAAAGATATAAAACAAACCTAGATATTTGATCGAAGAATGCAGCTGCCTCGCTTTCTACTGACTGTATTTCTGCAAGCGTATCTTCTTGAATTGATACACCAAAATTATTACCATCTTCAATTTTTGGAATCAAAAACGAAATCCACATCTTCAACTAAAATTTAATTTGACATTATATTTAATTACAATTAATATTAACTAATGATCCACAATGATATTAATTAACAACAATCATTGTACCAGATTAGAATCCTCCAAAAGTTGTCTGATATAAGGTTTAACTACGTGAATTAATTCACATAGAGGTTTATTACATGGTACTGGTCCATTAGGTAATATCATAACTTTGGTTCCGCTAGTCTCATCCACACTATTATCCACTTTAATTTTTTTTGAAATAGGTCCATCTTCGGAATGATTAAGAACTATAGGATGTGGAATGGGCACATTTAAGTCTTGGTGTACATCTGTCAATTTACGGTTACGGAAATCAGGTGTTTCCAACAATTCATTTAATTTAACAATCTTTTCTGGGAATCCTGTTATTAATAGCTGTTCAGCCTAAATGACACATAAAAATTGTATGCATTGATATTACAGATGTTAACCTATTTTGTACATATATATTACTTGATTCGTTTAACATTATACAATGACCAACAACATTATACAAAATGACTGACTGAGTAACAAAACTTTAATATTTCTATATATGTAAAAACGAATCAAGTTACTTACACAATGGGTAAAAGAGGTTTACCTTAGTCTTAAGAGAATCCTTGTATTCTTGAACCTGCAAGATAAACTAAGAGGTAAATGTATGTCTGCGATAAAAATATAAATTCAAAATAATATATTCAAATGAAATTTGTCAAAATTATATTCATTGCCCTTAAATTTACTTTCGTATAAGAAATTGTTTAAAATATTATACACAAATGTGTATTAAAAAATTTTGTATCCATTATAATGATAATATTATAATTATTATTATTAATATTATTAATATTAATGCAAACCTTTTTTGACTCATTGGTAATAAGATCATCTTTTTCTGAAAACGAATCTTTTGACAATATCGATTCATTTTTAGAAATGGAATGCAGCAGTGACGGTAACATTTAATATTAATTTAAATGATCTATGAGTATTGTTAAATGAATACATAAATTTACGAAGTTAATTATTAGAAAATAAATTCACATGTTGATTGAGAATGCTTGTAAGAAAGGTTAGAAAATTTCTTTCATTTGTTTATCAATTGTCAATAAAAATAACAAATTTTTCACATACGTGTGTCCCAGCTTGTTTTATTTGTTCTTCATTTAACTTACTGAACATGCTGGTAAAATTTTACAGAACAAAACTATATCTAAATAAAACATACGATCATTCAAGAAAAAAATTTAATCACATTTATTATTATATTCAATTTTCTCTATAATCTTGCATGACTTTTAAAAACGCATACTAATATTTATAATTTAATTTTTACTTTTCACATATGGCTTACATATAATAATTAATAATCTTTATCTTGTAAACTTATGAAAGATAATTTCTAAGAAAGATTACTTTTAGCTTGCAGTATCAAAATAAAGTTAATTATCAATGAAAATTTTTAATATATAATTATAACATTGTATTTTTATAGGTTAATATGTGTTAATTTTAAATGATACAAATATTGTTTGTAATTACAGCAAAAATTCGAGCTATGGAAGGTTAATAAATAATTGATTATATATTCAAAATTATAAATAATAAATTTCTAATTTGTTTTTCAATCATTTATATATAAGAATATTGACTATATAATAATGCATAAATGCGCGCGAGCGCGCACGCTTTCTTCGCACGAACACATGCACACGTGTTGCAAATACACGCAAATATGAATTCTACAATACAACGAAAGCATATATGATACAATCAAGGTAAGGATAAATATTAAATTGAATGAATTGAAATTAAACGAATTAGATATATCGAGTAATTTTAATTAATTAAACATTAAAATATATGAACAAATTCTAATGGCTAACCATAAAGCCGGTGAATTAGTAGACTTAACCTATACGTGTTAACACTACTAACTAATAAAACTCTAACGATTATTAACCATTGATATATTATTCTAATGGTAATAATGCGTTAGAAATAATGAATTAATTTACCTTTTTTGTTGTTGCATTCGCCATTATACGTTTCTTGAAAACAAAAACCTTTATTAAGTACAACCACACTACCTCTTTATTGAAACGTGCAACTTCAAACAGGAAATGAACGTACCTATACGTATACTGCGATATCAAATGAGAATCTATAACGTTACTTGCCGTTGAATTATTTAAATCGTTTTAATCTTACATTTATTATTTCATTTGTTATTTTATTTACAATTTGATAAGTAGCCAAATATAGTAACAAAATGTCTATTTATTACACAATTAAATTTCATTATACATTCAAAAAATATGTTACATACTATAGTCAATTTTTAACTTCTTTTTTTTTTTTTCTTATGTCTTCTGAGAAATTAAAATATAAAAGGATATTATTATCATTATTATTTTTTAAATGACGCATGTTCTATATGTGTTAAACAAAGGAAATTTGATTCTTTTTACTCAAAGGTTTTTTTTTTCTCATACTACCAACTATTAATTTCTTGGGACTGAAAATTTCGTTGAGGCTCAAAACTTATCAACCCACTCATTTTATATGGAAAATTATATAATTTTTAATATATAAATTACAAAATATTAAATATATAAATGTATTAACAAAATATAATTGAATGATAATTATTACAAAAAGGGATTAGATGAAATAAATAAGTGATTATTTACGATTTACATTTCACACGTCGAATATTTTATTATCTATTTAAGTAACAACATGATAAATCAATTAAAAATTGTATGCAGTCATGACAAAGTATGTATGTATATACCAATATGAGCAAGAGCGATAATAAATCAGAAGCCCACATGTAAGTTAATCATTTCAGATTTATTACTTACAAAATATTTTTAACTATTATTAATTACAATATTATATCCGCAATAATGAAATGTGGCAAATGAATAATTTTGTTTATTTTTATTTTTTTATTATTGCAATACCTTCGGAGTTGCGTTTTTAATAATGTTAGATGTTAAAAGAAACAATTGAATTTGTATTTTATGACCAGAAACTAAATATAATGATAAGAATAATTATAAGACTTTGCTTATATAAATATATATGTTAAACAGGGCTAGGTAAGTTTCTTAGCTTTCTGGTAAAGCGTGTCGACTACTTTTCCCATGCTGTGTATTGTTTCTAACGCAATTCCGTAGGTTTTGTCACGTGGCGTGTCTTCAAATACGATCAAGACACCTTCCCCTTGATCCAGTACTCCTTTCAATTTTTTATCCAATATCATTTGCGATAACTTCTTTTCTACTTGCGCGAGTTGTAAAGATATGCACGAAGAAATATGACTTACCTATAAAAGGAAATTATTTATTATATTAGATTAATTCATATAGTTTCGATAATAATAAGATTATTATTTTTGTTTATACAAAAAACGTTATATACCTGAACGCGAGAATAAGGTTCAACCAAACGACACAAATTTTGTTCTAACATAGCGTCGTAAAGAGAGCCTAGATGAGCACGTACAATTACATCATCCTCTAATTCTTGTCGATATTGTTTAACTGCAGTTTGAAAGTCAGCTAAGGAACGCCGGTGACTGGCTTCAGCGACAGCACGCATAGCATCCAAATCACGTCCAGCATATTTGACTGCTAATTTTCCGGACATGATAGATTGAACATCTTCGGGTGTGCGCAACATGATCTTGGATAATAACATATATTTCAATGCCGTTAATGCTTTAGGACTTTCAACACTATCATACCTATAATGAAAGATATAATGATAATACAAATATTCTATAGATTAGTAAAATTAATTATCTGTTGCTTGGTCAAATTACAATCGCTAAATAATTTACCCTTCAAATGCTTCGTAAAAGTATGAATAGGCAGTTTTAAAATCACGTTCATCAGCAGCATGTAAAATTCCAGATTGTAGATCCAAAGCAGCTTGCATTTTTGGAGGACAATAAATTGCATTGGCAGTAGTTCTAGCACTAGTGAGAGCTGCCCTTGCTTTAGCTAAATTACTTAATGCATGATATGTTTTGCTCTCTAACAACTGAACCTCAACAAGCAATTGTTTGTCATCTAATTTTTTAAGTTCCTTTAGAAGAGCAGAACTCAATTGCAAAGCTTCGCTGAACATGCCAGTATCGAAATAAAGAGCTATTAGTCGTGCTTCTAATGATTGCCTTAAAAACGTCCTACGTTCTTCTTTTGCCCACTCTATACATTCTTTGCATAATTGTACCTAAAGAAAAGAAACGATCTTGTCAGTATTTAATAAACATACATTATATTTAACAATATTTTTTTCTCAACGATGTCAACAAAGATCAATCTTATTCAGTCAATATTGCATGATGGACAGCATAGTCAATGCGGCAACAAAAGCCAAATGTTCACATCGTTAAAGAAAATATGCATTAGATCCAAATAATTAATAAAAACAAAGCATATATTAAGAATACTTTAACCAATAAGGGAACTACATACAAGAACGTTTTCTAAAGATATTATCATAGTTATTAACATAGCAATTGATTATTACCTCAATGCCAATCCCAGCTTCCAAATCAAGGAAGAAGTCAACTAATGATCTCACAAGCTTAGCTGCTTTGGCTTTACTTATTAGGCTAAGAAAGGGTCTAGTTGCTTTGATTAGTTCAGCTAATTCTTTAGCTTTGCCCTCTTTCTTGTAAAGTTCACCAAGGTGTAATATACCCTGTTCCTTGACCCTAATACTTTCCTCGTCATCTTCGGCCAGACCGATGTTAGGGTCGGATACGATCTCATTTAACAGAGATATACCTTCGCTACGATTTGTCATCGATACAGCTTGTGCACGCTCAAACAACATTGCACCGGCCATCTCCAAGCTTTTATCTAATTCCAATGATACACTTCGATCACTTAATTTTAATTATTTGTTTATTTATTATCTTTCCTCGCAGGAAATCCAATTAAAAATTACTAGACTCGATGTTTATACAAAACAAAGTCGAGACATAACACTGTGTGCTGTCGCACACGATCTTTTAGAACACGGTTCGTTCACTTTCTGTTTTGTCACTCTTTTCATTGCTCGCTTGAGCTCCGGAACCACAAAACTCGTGTCATGCTGCTACGCTAGTCAATTCGACTACTCTACTTTAATCACTAGTTTTAGTTACTTTCACTAGATTATTTTAACAATGTTTTTCTTTATTTATTTTCAAACGGATCTTTGAAATTGTTAGGATGAATAAAATTCTTTTTTTTTCCTTTTAATTTAACGTTAAAAAATGATTTTTAATGTTAAGTTTATAAATTGACGTGTTTTTAATATTCCCTTTAAATTCTTATCAGTATTATGATTTCTTTATAAAAAACCAATGAACGTTCTCATAAATCTGGTGCCTTTTTTACTTCAACTTTATTAGTCTTACAAGATTATTTATTTAATTGGATAATAAATATTTAAGAACAAATTATTTTAACACTGGTTAATTTACCGATTATTTTTTATTATTATAATATATTTTTAATATATACATAGCCTGATAATAAATATTATAAAATAGTAACAATAAAGTTACTATACATAGGTGTACATACACATAGGTATTGTTCGTTCTGAATGGTCAATCAAAGATTCTGCAAGAAGAGATTATTATGTCTCTCATTGGATCAATTTGTTTGGTCCATTAAAACGTTAATTAAAGTAAATATTATTAATTAATATATCAGTATAGTGTGTGTGTGTTTAGAATCAGTCATCAATAAATTAATAATCATGCAAACTTTAAGAAATACATTACGGTCATTCCTTTCAAGTAAGTAAAACAAAATATTTATAATTAAAATGTTGAGGTTATGACAACTTTTAAAAATAAATAATTAATAATATATTTTTCTTCGTTTTATTAGCAGGTAATTCTATTGGAATACTCGTACAAAGAGCAGGAATAAAAATATATCCTAAACCTGAAAAAATTAAAGGTAAATTTATTACAATCTGAAATATAACAAAAGAAATATTTTGTTTTTGCTTTAGTTACTAATGTATTATAAATCTATGTATTTCTTTAAAGATGTTGAATTTCCTGAAAGAAATAAACTTCGAATTATGGAAAAGGTTCCGCAATATCCACCTTCTTTACGTCCTTTTAAAATGCAAAAGAAGTTAAGACTTATGCGTGGTCCAGAACTTATACATAATACTTTATTACACAAACAGTATGGAATTATAGTAAGTTTGTGAAAAAATTTGTTCAAAATTAGGCAAATAATACAATTGATTAATATTTAAGTATTAATGTTATATAATTTACAGGCCTTAGGAGGTGGAAGATTGAAGTATGGTCATTTTGAAATGATACGTATGACTCTTATACGTAATTTTGAATTCAAAGACATGTTTGCTATTTGGCGCGTTGATCCACCATGGCAGCCTATTACTAAAAAGGTTTTATAAACAAAATAATATTTCTATTATTTATTAGCTATGCAAGATATAATTAACAACAATTATCTTATATAGTCTCAAGGTTCTCGCATGGGAGGCGGTAAGGGATCAATAGATCATTATGTTACTCCAGTTAAAGCTGAGAGAGTGATCATAGAAGTTGGTGGAAATATTCAATATTTTCAAGTACGTCATATTATTTTATCGAAATATCTTATATTTATAAGACGAGAGCAGAATTGAAAATTAATAATCAACATCAATACATTCATTAGGTAAAAAAAGTATTAGAAGATATAGCAGCCAAATGTCCATTCAAAGCTATGGCGATCAGTCAAGAAATCTTAGACAAAAGAGCAGAAAAAGAAAGAATAAATGAGGAAACTAATTTAAATCCTTGGACGTGGAAATATATTGTTCAGAATAATATCGGTGGTTGTCATAAATGGATATCACCAATTGACAAAGTATGGTACAATAAATATTTGTAAATAAATAATATATGTAATTGTATACTTAGTTCTCTAAATTAAATATTAATTATTTAATTAGTCAAGTTATCAATAATTAACATAAATATTTATACGAATTAATCAATATATAAAATATCTTACCTTAAGAACAAACATATTTTTTTCGAATAATTCAATGAAAGAGAGGAAGATAGGGTTTTCTAAAAAATATGTGATTAATGATAAAAATTAAACGAATAAATCATTCAAATGCAATTATGTTACAATTACAATATTTTATATATCTTTGATGATGGTTTGGTGGTAACAACAGGTAAATACTACATATTGTACATTGAGTAGGCGATAGTCGTACCTTATTGTTTAATTAGCGTATCGGCGACGCCGGCGCCGACGTCAACAACGCCAACGACGACGATGAAGCTGACGACGGTAATATGTCTTGTGGTGATAACAACAATAACAACAACAGCAACAACAATATTTATAACAATAACGGTAACGGCAACAATGATAATGACGATATGATGACAATGATGGTGATGACGATGCTAATAAGCGATGGATTTTTTAAATGACAATGAGAAAGGGATTAATTGCGACTGATGATCACGATGATTAGAGTAATAATTATTATTACAATAACAATATAATAACAAATAATTCCAATCAATAGATTTAATATCAGGATATTAATGTTGAAATTAAATAAGATTTCAAAAAAAAGAAAAAAAAGAAAGAAAAAAAAACAAATGTAAGATCCTATTAGCCGTTACCACCATTGTAATAATAGTATAATTGTCGCTCTCGTTGTCACAGTCGTAATCGCAAGCGATAACGCGCTCTTTTTAAATACTTTATTTCGTATTTATTACATTTAACGTAGAGATAGGGGTGACGTCGTGTCAAAGGAATGTGTGTGTTTTATGTATACTTATTAGACAGCATTACAATGATCATAAACTCTAATCAGCAAGAACTTAGTTACACCGAGAGGTATGACACGCGCGATAATTTCCTTTTTTTTTTCTTCTTCTTTTTTTTTTTTAACGATTTCGGTGCGCTTATAAATACATACATACATACATACATCCGTAGAACGTATTGGCCATTTGATAATAAATGGTCACGGATATTTATGAAACTCAGGTAAGAAACGAAGCGTAGAGTAGTAGAGGAAGAGGAGGAGGAGGAGGAGGGATTAAGGATTAGGAAAAGGAGAAGGAGGATTAGGATTTTAGGATGATCGAAGAACGCGTGAAAATACGTGCTTAATATGTTCCCGAACGTAACGACGAGTTAGACAAGAAAGGAACTTTTAGTTTCTATAATTGATGCGTCATTTAATTATTTCGTGTCCCTGCATTTTTCTCCTGCAATATTTTCTATCTCACAAATAAGATAGAAACGTGTTGAGCCGTATACAAGTGGTGCGTGGTACGCGCGTAATAATGCAAGGAGTTGCCTCGTGACGCTTTTTCGTACTTTTTTTGTTTGTTTAACAATCTAAATCAACATTCCTTCAACCTTTTAATTACAACCCAATTATTGGACATTTTTAATAGTTCATGATATTACTTCAAAAGTAAGTCAAGTATCGTAACAATCAATCATACGTTTAAAATAATATACAGTCATTCTAGTTAATACTGAATTTTTAGTAAAAATTAGATATTATAAATATTATTGAATCGTAATTAATATTAAAAATCAATTAATCATGCTGTTTAACAATAAAGGGTTGAGAAATGCTATATCTAGATTTCATTCGTAATGATCTCGTATTATGTATTTTAAATATTTACTCTTATATAATTATTTATATTTCATTTATTTCATTTATATTTATACGAGCGTCAACATAATATTTTATTCACGTTGCAAAATGCGAGCCGGATTTGAATGAAATATTAGAAAATAATAAAAAAAAAAAAAAAAAAAAGAGAGAAGGGGCGCGCGCGCGTCTTACTTCGCAGTCGATATGATTGGATTCGTTTTCATTATAGTTCATTGACAACGAGTCTCTCTCGTCGATATTTATATTATAATTACAATAAAGCAGCAACCCTTGATGCACAATTCGGAACTTTCGCTTATTATCTCGATGACGATGACGATGAAGATGGCGAATGATGTGATATAATTAATCTCTCCTCCTCGCGATTCACACAATAAAATGCATCATTCGGCGAAAGGCAACGTAGATCGCGCGTTACGACGATTAATTGTTTATATAATCATATAAACATATATATATATATATATATATAT